AATCGGCCGGTCTTACGACCGCGCCCATGTCTGCGGACTATATGGCATTCACCCCATCTTTGACCAGTTCTTCGAGGCACTGGAGCCCAAGTTTGTGGCCATGACCAGCAGCCCGCGAGGGCTTGCCAACCCTAGGTTTCCCTGGTTGAGTGCCCGAGGTTATGCCGACGCAATGGAGTTCAAGGATAATTGGCACTTTGTCAATAATGCCGAGGAGAACCGCGTCAGGCTCTCGGCGTACTGGACGGCAACAATGTTTGCCGTCGACTGCGGGTGGAACGTTGGTAGGGTTGGCAATGAGTTGATGGAGCTCGATCAGGAGACATATGATCACCTTCGTCGCAACGTCAACTTCGTCCTTGATGCTCTTCCGGTCTCATACCAAGAGCAGGTCGCCGAAATGACGAAGCTGGTTTTCGGAGAAAGCAGGCGACACATCATCCCTAAGGGGAGGTCCTTTACGGTCGAGGATGTGATTGCCAGGCAGCCAGATACGAAGGACTTCTTGGACGTGAAAACCATTGACCCCAAGATGTTTGCTTCTCCCCCGGCTGATTTGCCTCCGAAACCGGCCGCCGGTGACGGCGAGCCCAAAGATGCTTCTTCGGTGTCCATCACGGTCGAAACGCCCGAGGTAGTGTTGAAGTCCAAAGCCAAGACAGCACCAGCACCAGCACCAGCATCAGCTGCAGTTGCAGGAGTCAGCTCAAGTGCATACCGGCCGCAGTTGCCTGCGAGCTCAGTTGGAAGGAATGTGGAGGGCCATGTCAAGGCGTACTGGATGGAAGACCATCTTCCGGAGTACCAGTACACAATGGTGACAAACTCGGAGGGGAATGAATTACCCGGCATCCTTTTCAACAGTGTTGCCACGAGCTGGAACTTCTTGGTGCATCGGATGTGGAGACAATTGCCAAGCAGGTCTATGTCGACAAACGCTTTTCCGATTTGCCACACGTGTGAACAAGGTTAGAAGGGGTATCGCATCATGTGACAAAGATCTCTTTATTGATCTGGAAGATTTTGCAAAAGCCTTCCGCAAGGAAGTGCCCCCTGATGTGTTCATCACGGTTGCAAATTTGTTCGGCACTGCAATGAAGAATGAAGATTGACAAACATGGCAAAAGTCGATTTCAGTTTCTCTGCGCCCGCATCCCCGAACTTGGCTACGACAACAGCTTGGGGATGATTTTTGTACCAGTCAAAATCCGAGCCATTCAAGGTCACTCAGCCGAAGCCTTGAAAAGTGCCGGTGGTTTGTATGCAAACTCCACCCTTATCTACTGTGCTGACAATGTCTCGCCGGAGAGAAAAGCCGCCTTTGCAGGCTGCCCATCTGCAGCATGACAGAGGTCCCTGAAGTTGCCTATCATCGCACGATGAGAAGCAACTGGAAGAGCATCGCCAAAAGTGGCCTTGCCTTATCCCTGGAGGTGGTGACTCTGTCAACAGCAGGCGTGCACATGTCTACATGTCGCAGTATCGCCACGGTGCAGATGGGTATAGATCCGGAATTCGGGGCAAATGCACCATCGAGATTGTAAAATTGCCTTGAAGCAAGCAGTGCAGGGAGGTGTCATCTTTAGCCGTACCGAAATGGACGGCATCCTTCTGAGAAGGTTCCGCCTCAGTACATCGTCAGCATTGCCGAGGACGACAAGGTGATTTGGTCCCGCGCCGAGAGCAATCTCGAGCCCACGGCATGGCAAAGCGCGGATACGTCCACATCACCGACTTCTGGAGTCCGACTTGTTGCACGCGACGATGCAGATCCTTCTCGTGATGATCCGATGGATGACACCAGCACAGGGCAACCTGATGCTCGAGCCGCACAGGAAACCAACACCACTGATGACAGGATGCAAGATGACCAGCCACCCACACGGGTGCGCCGCATCTACATTGCTCCAAAGAATGCTGAGCCCTTCACAGGCACATGTCCGTTGTGTATGGTTGAGCATGTCAGTGGTCAAGTTGTGTGCAATACGTGTGGTTTCGAGCCCCTGCCTGTGGATGAGTCAGGCGAGCCAAAGAAACAACCCAACCGCCGAACAAGAATCCTGGAGAAACGCATGCAAAAGCTTGCAGATTTTGGGATGTTTGGCAAGGTGAACTCCACGTTACTGTACTAGCCACTCTCACGAGTGAGCAGGCAGATTTGCTCAGGCAAGAGATGGGTGCGCGAGGCATCACCAGCCTCGAATCGTCAGTGATCAAGGATTGCACAGATCGCTACAAGAGGGCAAAGCAGCTGGGGTACGAGGACGTCGAGGACCGGTATGCCAGCGATGTGACCTTTTGCGATCGGATGCATGAGGAAGGCAGAGGGTTGAACGACTGCATCTTTGATGACATGTTCGCCTTCGCAAACTTGCCTGACCCTCCACGCTCACGCATCCAGATATCAGCTGGCGTCGCCGCCAATGCCGAGCATCAGAACTGCCTGTCAAAGCTCATCTATATGAGCCAGCCACGTGGAGTCGATGGCTTTCCCGTCGGGTATCGCGGGACCTGGACTAAGGTTTGGGGATTCATGTTTGGCCGTCACATCTTCAGCGAGGAGGAGTACATCAGCTACATCGGCCGCAGAAATGCGTATCGAGGTCTTCTCACTTGGAAATGTATCGTCACTGTGCCCTTTGATGGAACTCAGCGTTTTCTGGACCAGGTTTATGAAGAAAATCTGCCACTCGTTCGTGGCAACCTGGAACGCAAAGAAAAGCAGAGTGCCGCCGCCAAGTCTGGAGGTCCTGGGGGTCAAAAGGCCGACCCCACGGTCGAGCGCAAACGCAAAGCCGAAGCTGATGCAGCCACCAGCACAACAGGATTCGAAACAACCGCCGCATCCAGCTCTGCGCAAGCAGATGCCTCATCTGGTGCCACACCATTCCTTTTGCCGGATCCACCAACCCTTTCTTGGAGCCAGAGCCGACGACAACTGCATCAAAGGCAGCCAGCCTTGCAACGTCAAAGGCATCAAGCTCCGGTCGCCCGGATGCCTCTTGGAGTTGGAATCGTGATCATTACGGTGCTCGCCGTGAGTGGAGTTTCTGGCGAGGGGCGTGGTATTACCGAGATGAGGCCGGCGGCCGATGGATTCTCTGGAACCGCTAGGTAGCAATGATCTTTGTAGCTTTTGTGCAAGATGTGGCATGGTAAGTTGCCTTCCCTTGCTTTGCTGCGCTGGGTTTTACGGGCTTGAGCTTTTTAGAGGGACCTTTGAAAGACTGCATAAAATTTCAAAAGCCAAATAAAAACAATCTGGCTACCCGCAAGGGTATGCCCACACGGCTATTCGTTCTCCGCAGTCGTCCCTGCTCGCCCGAGGGGGGTGTAAAACTCCTGCAGTAAAAGTATGTATAATAGATGACATTGCTATGACCTATGCAGCATTGGTTCAAAAGTGCCAGTAGCTTAGCGGCAGTGTTCTAGTCAACCCCATTAGTGTTTAAACCATATTGGTGGCTGACCGCTGACCTGGGAATATACACTATTTCCACCTTTCTGGCTACATTTTGTTTTGTAGTTGCCTTTGACGATGGTCATGATGGTGATGTGATGATTGCCATGATAATGCAATGATGATGATGATGATGATGATGATGATGATGATGAGGATGACCATGATGGTGATGATGATGATGATGATGATGATGATGATGCTGGTGGTGATGATGATGATGATGACGCCGCCGACGACGACGATGATTATGATGGTGAAGAAGAAAATGCTGCTGATGATGATGACGATGACGATGACAATGACGATGACAATGATGATGATGATGGTGGTGATGATGATGATGACGATGACGATGACAATGGTGATGATGATGATGATGATGGTGTTGTTGTTGATGATGATGATGATGATGACGATGATGGTGATGGTGATGATGATGCTGATGATGATGATGATGGTGATGATGCAACAGGGGTTGGTGCTGTTATTGGATATGATCCCACCAGTGATTTTTCTCGTTGAGGATGTTTGACATTCCCCGAATGGATGACGGTCGATGATGGCCGTCATCTTTCAGAGACAAGCAAAAGAGGCATTTCACTTGGTTTTCTGCATGCCTATGCAATCTACTTCACTTGTGAGGTCATTTGTGTCAAGAGTACAATCTTGCGGTCATCTCAATTTCTCATTTGCTCCACTATTTGTATCTTTACTTCTCATCGACGTACTACTGTGTCACATTCTTGCTATGCACTTTACCTGTCAGTACTGTTAGTTGCTTCTTTCAGATAATGTATGGACAAGTTATTTCCTGCTAGGGGTTCCGAGAGTGACTTACTTCGGATGTTTTCTTGATTCCTATGAGTCGTTGAGCCATTTTCTTATTCCGAATCCTATTTGTAACACACTTTTCCTATGAGCCACTTTGCCAATCACTTACTTCTGACTTACTGAACTTGTGACTTACACTAACTTACACCACTTGCTCGTCATATATATATATATAGTTCCTTACTTGTCTTGCGGCCCCAGACTCCGTCAAGTACCACACACCTCGCTGGCCCATCATTTTTTGACCTTCGCATACTTTACACAATTCTATTCAAGTCATTCACACTTTCTCAATGTCAATGCTTTGGGACTTTGAGATATTTTGAGACACTTTCTATTTTCAGTACTTGGTTTCTCACATAGCGCAGGTTTGCTTGTTGCATGCTCTACTATGCAGGCTATTGGGCCCATACTTTGGATGCAGATTTGTCTGGTGTAGACACCCAGTTCATCCCCGATCAAAATTGAGCAGATATGTTCATTGCTTGACCGCACATGTGTCCAACACAACAAATTGTACCGTATTGCATTCTAAAATCTCGAAACGGCCTGTTTGGCACCCTTCCCAGAAGGCCTGGTGTCTGACAGTTAACTTCCCCAGTTATCTCAAGGTTCAACTCAGATGTTGATGTCAAAAGAACATAAGAGGTGTGGACCAAAAGAGTTTTTGAAGATATGAAATTTCCCCAAAAATTTTACCCCAGAG